CTTTTTCTTGGTGCTTTCATGGATGAGAGACTCCTTTTTCTACAATTTTTGCTGATGTCCCTCTTGCTATTCTTTTTGAGAAGACTTTTGCTTATTCCATTTCCTGTTCCTTCATACAGGCCCAGTTTTAGATGTCAGGCTTTATTGTTTTGTTTGTTTTAACTGAAGCTTTTAAAATCTTTTCTTCAGCTCTGTTCTGAAATTTCATAATGATGTGACTTGGTGTGGGTTTTTTCTTACTCATTGGTCCGGGCCCTTAGAATTTCCGTTGCGTCCTTGGCACTTTCTTCCCTACTGCTTCACTTTTTGATAGTCTTATTTGGAGGATGCTGGTCTTCATGAATTGATCTCTGATTTTCCTTATCCTTTTCTCCTGCTTTTTATCTCTTTAAACTTTTCATTCTACTCTGTGAGATGTCCTTGACTTTGAATTTCCAACTCTTCTATTGAATTTTCATTTCCATGATCTTATTGTAAATTTCCAGGAACTCTTTATTTTTTATTATTCCTTTCTTAGAGCATTCTGTTTCAGTTTTATCTTCTATTATCACTCTGAGGGTAGTAATAATAGCTGTATTTTTTTAAAAAATTAGTATGCCGGGCGCCTGGGTGGCTCAGTCGCTTGAGTGTCCAACTTCGTCTCAGGTCATGATCTCGCTATTCATGGGTTTGAGCCCTGCATCAGGCTCTATGCTGACAGCTCAGAGCCTGGAGCCTGATTTGGTGTCTCCCTCTTTCTCTGCTCCTACCCCACTCGTGCTCTGTCTCTGTCTCTCTTTCAAAAATAAATAAACATTAAAAAAAAATTTTTTTTAATTAGTATACCTTAACTCTCTACACTTTTCCCTCTGAATTTCTTTTTTCTGTTTATCTCTCTTGGCTGTTCATTTAAAAAGAGTGAGACACAAATAAATATATGGCAAATACCATCTGTGTGCTAAAAATGTAATGGGAATGCATCACTTTTTTTCAGCCCAGATGCTAAAGTATGTCTATTTTTTGGTTGTGTGTCAGCTATTTGCTCATTAAGGTTTACTTGATTCAAAGTAAGTCCCACATGTCTTCTGCTTTGGGGCCTCAGTTGTGCTACAGTATCGTCTTTCTCATACCTTTTTCTGTTTCTCTTTCATGTGTTTTTACATGTTGGTCTGTAGCTGTTTTCTTTCACTTGTGGTCATCCATCACAGCATAGATCAAGATTCACTGAGGTCTTAGACACTTAGCAGAGATTTGTCCTGTGCTGGTGGACAGGCTCTGTTTGGGGAATCTGTCTCTTTGGTGTAAAGAAAGCTTTATAATGACCTGGCAGTTCCATTCCTAGGTATATACGCCAAAGGACTGAGAACAGATACTCAAGCTAAAACTTATACAAGAAGGTTCATAGCAGCATTATTCATAATAGCCAAAAACTGGAAATGGCCCAGATGTCCATCAACTAAAAAACAGATCAACAAAATGTGACATAGCCACATAATGGAATATTATTGGGCCATAAAAGGAATGAAGTATTGGTATCTGCTACAACATGGCTGCTACAACACTGGAAAGATGACACTAAGTAAAAGAAACCAATCACAAAAAACACATACAATTCTATATATGTGAAATGTCCAAAGTGGGCAAATGTATAAAGACAAGAAATAGACTAGTGTTTTCTTAGGAGTGTGATCAGTAGAGAGTCCAGGATTTCTTTTTGAAGTAATGAAAATAATCTAAAATTTGTGGTGATGGTTGTACATATCTGTGACTGTATTGAAAACCATTCAGCTTTTACATTTTACATAGGTGAATTTTATGGCATGTGAATTATTTCAATAAACTTGTTTTTTTTTTTTTTTAAAAGAAAGGCTCATAAGGGTCTTGAACAGACTGTTCTAGAGGTCTCTAAAAACTCTACTCATATTAGGCATAGTCACTTGACTGCACCTGCTCCTGTTATCTCTACTCCTATTAAATGCTTCCTTTAATTTTATTCAGTAGAGTTTTCATCCCTATCACTAATACTAGATTTTCAGGCTCAAGGTCTGCTTTTAACATATTTATACAGATATGTAGAGAGAAAAATAATGCTGAATGATATGTATTAAAAAGTCAACACGATGGCTTAAAGTTGAGTTTTTATATAGTCTTTTTTTTTTTTTTTTTTTTTTTTTTTTAATGTTTATTTATTTTGAGAGAGAGAGAGAGAGCAGGGGAGGGGCAGAGAGAGAGAATCCCAGGCAGGCTCTGCGCTGTCATTGCAGAGGCCGGTGTGTGACTCGGTCTCATGAACTGAGCCAAAATTAAGAGGCGGGTTCCTGAGTGAGCCCCCCAGGTGCCCCTATATAGTCTTTATCCCATTCTTTTAGCTTATTCAAATTTTTGACATTTTTCACCTTTTTTCTCTGCTAAGAATCCTGTGAGACAATTGTTTTTTTCCAGCATTCGAATGGAGCTGCTCTTTCAGATTTGATGTTTATGCTGTATTCAGTAAATAACATAAATGTTACAGCCACATCTTTTAAATTAAAATGTAAATGTCTTGGTTCATACCCTGTTGGTGATTTTACAAACTTGACATTGATAAGCTCTTGAGTAAGAAACTTCAGGAGCTCTGGGTGAGTTTAGGGTTAATAAATCTCTTTCCTTTAGAGCTGTCATCAAGTTAGTAGTGGTTCATTTCCCTTGGACCTGAAATTCACGTGAATTAGCCCAGGGAGGTCAGTGTTACTGGAAACAGGAAGTTAGGGATAGTAACTCTTGGTTAGATGACACTGAGATGTGGTGATTTCACACACTAAAAACTTTAAACATAATTGCCAGACTTCTCTTTCTAAGCCTTTTTGTTGACGTTACTCTGCACCATGATCTCTTTCATAATCTCTTGATATTTCCTTTATGTAGGTTTGTTCCCATGAGTCTAGATTTTTTTTCTTCAAATTATCTTAATCAGAAAATTTTTAATTTTCACATCTTTCTCAATATATTTGTTGTCAGTCTTCCATTCTTAAATATGTACTGACCAACCGTCTGCCCTTCTCTACTATTAATCCCTCCATCCCTTTTTCCACAGAACTCAAATACTCTGGTGTAATGTCATTTGGTACAATTCTCTTGGAAACTCTTTTGACCACTTTAAAAATCTGCTGGTTCCAGTTTATTATGTTTTTGGCTGCAAAACAAAAAGGGGTTACCTTTCTCAGTTTTTAACTACATTCCTATGGCTTAATTTACCCCCTTCACCTCTAATAAGATGACACTTCTCAAAGTCACCTCTGTCCTTTATGCTCAGCTCTCTGCTTTTCTAATACTGGCCTCTGGCTAGAAATCACTTCTTGTTTCCTACAAGATTGCTATAATCTGTCTGGCCAAAGGTTAAGGAAAACCAGGAAGTATTTATTGAAGTCTACCTTTTAATCGTAATATCTATTCTAATATATTTAGTTAATATTTATGGAACACCCACGCTTCTTAGTCATGTTACCAGCAAACGTGCGGCAGAGCATTAAAGAATGAATAATTAACAAATTGATGGATTTCAGAAAATATTCAGAGCTCTTTATTAATCTTACTAAAATAAATCTCATCACTGGGCTTTGAATTCAAAGCCAAGAACAATTTCAAGCACGTGTACTTACAGGTTCTGATTAAAGTCTTTATATATTTTTGCCTTATATTGTAATTTTCTAATTGTAGATATATCAAAGGCAAGCCATCAAATGGTATTTCAAAGCAGATTTTTATTTTAAAAATTAAAATATCTATGTAACTTTTATTATGAAAGTAGTATATATACATACTGTAAAGATATTTAAAGATCATATAAAAACTCAACTATAAGCCGTCTAGCCTATTGACTTTTTTTTTAATAACGTGCTTTTAAACTTATTTGTGACCAAGTCTTTACTTTTATTTTTTTTACTTTTTTTAAGTATCTCTGCACCCAGCATGGGGCTCCAACTCACGACCCTGAGATCAAGAGTCAGGATGCTTTACCAACTAAGCCAGCCAGACATCCCTAGCCTAGTGACTTTTTAACCATTCAGCATTATCTCTCTGTCTGTCTATCTATTCATTTGTTCATTCATTCATATACACACATATGTTAAAGCAGATTTGTTTATGACAACTGTATAATGTCATAGATAGTAAAATCAATTTAGATTTTGTGACAAAAGAAAATAACTGTAATAGATGAGAATGTAAACTATAAATAGGAAATAAGACCATGTTAACTATGAAGGAAACAGAATGAAATAGTCTGTAAATAAATTACTAAATTCCACCTACCGTATGATTTGAGTTGAGAAATGACATTAGAACAATATAAAGACCAGTATACTTTAAAAACTCACCAGAAAGCTGTCTGGGGTTCTGTGCAGCTGAACAATGTCTTGTGGACCTCTTTCATGCCAGTATATACAGTTCTACATTGTACGTAATGGCTCAATAGTATTCTATTTTAGAATGTGCATTAGTTTACTTAAATAGTCCTCTATTAAGATTGTAATCCACTTAGCGGAGCCTTCGATAGCTCAGTTGGTAGAGCAGAGGACTGTAGATTGTAATCCACTTTTAGCTATTCTACATAGTGCTGTGATGGATATCCTCATACATACTTTGCATACTTCTAGGGAAAGCACTGTTGGGTCAAAGTGTACATGCATTTTGAATCTGATTGTCAAACCACCCACCAGAAAGGATTAACAAATTTATTGTTACATCCAAGATAGACTTAGTTTATGCCCCATTCTGTTCCCACTGTACTGTTTGTGTGTGACTTGAGTAAATATACAGAGCCACAGCATTGACTCTGTATTGTGATGGAGTTTGTTACGTGTTAGAATTGTCCATACTGGAGGAGTTGTATGAAGCCTACCAGTGAGGAAACTGCTTACACTCATAACTTGGATTGCATGGTACTCGTTTTTTAAAAGCAGTATTCTCCAGCCAGCAGTTGTGTGTTGGTGTTTTGCTGTTTATGGGACTTGGTCATAGGGCATGATCCTTTCTCACCGTAGATGAGTGACCGAGGAGGTGGTGTTCCTCTGAGGAAAATTGACAGACTCTTCAACTACATGTACTCAACTGCACCCCGGCCTCGTGTTGAGACATCTCGAGCAGTGCCCCTGGTATGTGATCAAGAAATAGTGAAGTACAAAAAAGAAAAAGAAAAGAAAGAATGAAGTATGTTTTTGTGAATTGCCAAAAAAATAAAATAAGTACCAAATAAATTACCAAATAAATCAGGTAAGCACTTGTGTAGGGTACCCCTAAGGAAGAAACGAAGCTAATAGAAAAACACTCTCCTCTAAATTTAAACAGCCTTTGGCTGGTTTCTTCTTTTGATTGAAAAGAGCACAAG